ATATGTTTGTGTGTGTACACATCTGTGCATATCCACACATGTAAGCATACTTCTATAAACACATACTGTCAAACATGGGGCTAATTATTAGGCAAATATTAAGATTATGACTCATTGCAATTCCACCTGTACAAGGCACTGACATCTCTGGCTCATTACTTACCCAGGGCAGCTGGTAAGGCAGTCTTCTGCTTCTGAAATCCTCTCCAAAGATGCCATCCTTAGACTGACTGTGAGTTGCCAAAGCTACATGTTTCCATATCGCTACCCTCTTCAATAGTTCAGCTTCCTGGGCCATGGTTACATGACCTACCTGTAAATCTACTTTGGCTTCAGAGATACATGTGTATTGGGGAAAGGCATGGGGGTTTTATTACCCATTAAAACTGGCTACTGTAGTAGGCAGATGTCTGACTGCCAATCTGCTGTTAAGTCATGGCTGTGCTGCTACTGCCCATCAATAGACTGAGTTGGGGATTACCTACAATGGGAAAGATAAGGGATACCATGGTGCTCCCTATTCTGGTTTGGCAAAATAAGCAGATAACTAGTTTGCAATGCAATATTCAGGTGATGAAAGCTTACAACATGGTAGGGAACAGGCTCAACACCCAGACTCTAGTGCATTTATATGTGTTTACTTTGGATTTTGGTTTGGCAACACATCCTAAACTTGTATAGCTGCAACAGGAAAAAATGACATGCACTGACAATATTTTGTATTTTCAGATGATAAAGAAATTAGTGTACAACTCTCTGCCTTATCTGTGCAGAGCTGGGGTTGACTTTCACAAGCTTTTTCTGTGCTGTGTTAAATTCCTGCTAGACAATCTCTACCTCCAAGGGCTGGCAAGAGAACAAGAATCTCACTTCGCAAACGCTGGTTCTGCCATGGCTCAATAGAGAGACTTTTCAGAATTTATTGTGATAAATGAACACAAAATAGACAAAATGTGTAGTGCCTTCAGGTCCTTTTTTGGCCTGGAATGGAGTGAGAAAACCTTACATGTGAGTGCTTACATGTGAGACTATAAAACTACTGCCTATACTTGTGCTCCTGTGCGTGAATACATGTGACAAGACTGGATCCAACACAAGCTAAGAAATTTGCTGAAAACAACATATTTCCACAAAAAACTTCAGCTTTGGGGAAAGTCAGCAGTTTCCAATGAAAAGACATTTAACAGCCAAACCCTTCTTTATATGCGTTAATCTCAGCTCCTCCCTTATCAAATGGACCAAAATTTTCAGAGGCAGATTCTTTCCCATTTTACATCTGTGTAACTGAGCTGTACAAATAGCACAACCAAGGAAATTCAAACAGCACAAGAGAAAATTACCTTCTGCATTGCACTCTGGAAGGCCATCGAACCCCAAGAGCAAGTTGCCCTCATCATCATACTGTCCATAGGTGCCTGGAGGACAGGTTGGGGCTGGTTTCTCAGTGAGTGGTTCAGTGGTTGTTGGCTCAGGAGTGGTGGTGGTTGTTGTAGCAACAGTTGTTGTAGTTGTTGTGGTAGTTGCTGTGGTAGTTGTTGTAGGTATTGTTGTAGTAGTAGTTGAAGGAGTGGTTGTTTTCTTAATCATTTCAAGACCAATCAGAGGTTTTCCTCCAAGGCTTATTATTGGCTTATCTTGTGCACTTGCTACAGGTTTACTAAATCTGCTATGTCCAAACAAAGGTAATCCATCAGGACTCACCATTGGGGCACCTTTTTCATCTAGGAGAGAAGAACAAAAATCTCACCATTAATCCATTTCAGGGTTATACCGTGGTGTTTTATCACCAGTAGATACCACGAGAGCACTGACAATGTGAATACAGCTTCCTGTAACTAAACCGACAGAGAAGAAGGGTGTTATCTAGGAAAGAGCTATGCCTAACACCACAATGGTTTTCACTCTTTTCAGCTGTTTGATAAACACTTCAGGGACGTTTCACTTCAGAATAACAATGTGCAGACAGGGACCGCATTTAGTCTAAGTCACTCTCTCATAACTGTTGATGAAAGGTATGATGCATCTATGTTCTTCTCCCGAATGTCAAATATGTCTAGCATTGGGGAATAATTATTTCTATGTATACAAAGATATAAACAATCATCAATCCTTATTCTGGCTGAGTTCTGAAGGTCTTTCTAATGCTGATACAAATGAGTTGGACTTCAGTCATTCTTGCTGCTTTATACTCCAGAGTCCCACAGGATGCCCCAAAGCCTTCTCAGGTCCTGCAGTGTGCTGACTGCCTGACGGAGACCTGAGGTATAAGCAATTCCAAATGGCTTGCATGGGGCCTGATGCCTGAAGACTTCAAAAGGTCAAAGACTTGTATAACATGTACAAAAACGGTAGATTTTTTTTTTCAGTAAGAAGAAAGTTGTCACTTACCAACAATTGTGCGTCCATCCCCGCCTAATTTCACTCGGAGAGGGTTGCCTTGGGAATCTTGGAGGTATTTTCCTTCAGCATTTAACACTAGCCCACGGTCAAGATCTACAATCTAAAAGCAATAGATGGACTAAAGTTTAGTCAGCAAAAGAGGAGGTGAAATGAAATTTCACAGCAAGAGAAATTCTGGGGAAATTCAGACACTAAGTGTGATGTTCAGGAATACCTACAACACACACGGACTTTTAAGATTCACTAATTGCATAGTAATCACTGAAAAGTCACTAATGAAGAAAGCAAATCCCCAGAAACTGGGCTCCAGAGCTACACAACCATATTCATATCACCTACTGTAGCACTCATGTGCAAAGGAGCAGCTCCCTTGATTTTCTTGGGCTGCGTGACTCCTAAGGTGGATTCCTGTCATACTGATTTCAGTATGACCCTGAGTCCTTTTGAAGATGGGATTTAAAAATATGTCTACTAACCAAAGAAAAAGGAAAAATTAAACTAGTTAATTTATATTAAAACTGCAGTGAAAACAAAGTACCTAAGATTTTAATTGGGGTAGGAGACTAAAGAAAAGCCTCTGTCTCATAAAACAAATACGCCTGAGAGCTTGGCTTGAATTCAGGAGCTAACTGCAGTTAAAATTCAGTCCTTGTTGCTATTTCAACCCAAAATAGCTAAATTGTATGCTGTTTTAACCCGAGGTAACAGACACTGAGCCACAGAATACAAAAATGCAAAAGGTGTTAAGTGCTGGGAGAAAACTGGGAAGAGGACATGAGCAGCAGTTCCAGGCTGGCAAGACAGACTTACATCTGGCACTGAGGAAAAAACTGCAGCAGGAAGGGCAGCAGATCATGGATCAGTCTCTAAAGCCCTCCAGGCCCCAGATTTGGCAGAGATCCTCTTACTTTACAAGGTGTTCATCCTGCTTGCAGCAATGCCTTCCTCTCATGAGGTAGAGACAGGCCTCACAGTAGCCCAAGGGCATTTCTAGCCCACTTTCTGAAGTCTAGTTGAAGGGCTTTGGCTATGCTTTTCAAAATGCCTCCCTTGAACGTGACATACCTGATCCACCTTTCTATGTTTCTCTAATGCAAATGGTAAGATAGAAGTGGCCATAAAATAATCGCCTTTATACGTTGTGCCACGTGTGAGCAGCAATGCTGATGCCAAGGAGGCTGCTCACGTTCTCCTCCTGCTCACCATTTTGGCAAACATGCAGGAAACATCACTTCTTTCCCTGCTTTGTTTGTTTATAAACTCATTGGAAAGGATTTTAAAAGCCAAGGTCTGGGCATGCAGGCAGCTAATGGGCCTTTACTATCAATGGCATCTGAACTTTTCTGCAAATACCTTTGGAAATACGTCTGTAAGAATGGCAAAATGCTTAAAGATACCTACATATGTGCATTTGAAGAATTGTGACAGTTATGGAGTAACTTTACACTTCGATACTCTTGATCTTGAGCTTCTCCCTGGAGTGTGTCTGGGAGAAGCATTGCTGAGCATGTCTTTCACAGCAGCTATCTCAGGCAGTCCCCATTGACACTGCATGGCAGACCAACCCTGAGTCACTGTGGAGTGCAAGTCTCACTGACTTTGAAGAAAATATGTTTCACTAAATTTATGGGAGTAATGTTATAGTTGAAAATTCAAGCCATCAGGCTTTAAATCAGACATTAAAAATGTTTAAATAAGAAAATCCAGAATTTGTCATTAGTTTTCAGGGGAATAGTCGAAACTAGACTACTAAGCATAACTTCACTTTACAGCTTCACTGATTGAGGGCACTCCTCGCCTGTCTTTCATAATGGAAATGCAAGTACAATAAAATGCCAGAGCATCTTGAATTTGGAGAGAAGGTCACCCTACCCACTTTGTTCCTTGAGGGCCATTGATTACTTTCTGTCCACTTGGTTTCCCATTATTACCAGGGACTATTTTTCCATTTCCATTTCCATTTTTCGTTGTAAGATTTGGTCTGCCACTGTTTCCTGAAACAGAGAAGAAAACACACTATTCTGAAGAAATATGTGCAACCTATAAGCCACATTTTAAAATGCAAATAAATGCATTTTCTAACTGATTTGAACACAAATGAGAGCAGAAAGAGCCCTCACCACACTCTGCAAACTAGGCATTCCATTTTCAGTTGGATCAACTGTTGTGACACTGTCAGATCCCTGCAGCTGACACAGGCATCTAGAATTGTTTCTTCTGAAGAGCACTCATGGTTTGTTTCTACCACGTTTATTTGGTCTCTTTAGTCTTTCATTTTTGTTTCTAAGAAGGCAAGACAATATTTCTCAATGGCACTAGTCATTAAAAAGTTTCTGATATTTGTAAACATTTGAAAAGTGGGATGTGGGAAGAAACCATTATCAAACACAACTTCTTGTCCAATCCTGGCCTTATACAAAGCTGTAGTGGCAAACAGAAAGGAGAGAGGATGAGAATTATCTCCACACATTTTTTTTAACGTGTAAGAGGAAGCACTCTCCCTCTCTAGTTGAAAAAAACACTGATAAACAGAAGCACACTCAGGTCAGAAGTGGAAGTAGCACTGAGCTGCAGCCCCCCCAGCTCCGACTGAGCAGCAATTTTCACACTGTAGCTTAGAGACTTGCCTCCAGAAAAATATAATGAAAATATAGACATATATTGACTGGGGAAAAAAATCTGTTAACTGAACACTCCTCAGCTACAACTTCACAATTGCACTGCTAGTAGTAAGCTTATACAACCTCCATTTAGAAATCTGTTAGTCTTTCATGCCCTACATCTCATCCTCAAAATCCCATTTTAAAGCTCTTCAAGCTGATGAACCTCTCCACAACACTGAGTCTGACTACAGCATTTAAAATACAATACCCTGGCTGCATGGTCCTCATTGTGTAACAGTGAGGCCACATTGAATAAAAGATTGTTGCCTACATATAGCACAGAAGGTATTTACTGAAATAGTCAGGTCACTCAGTACTATTTTGGATGTCCATGCATTAGAGGGAGAAAAAGTATTTTACCTAGCAAAGTCACTGAGACTGTCTGGGATTCTCCTTAGGTGACATGAGGAATAAATAGGTGACACACCTTGATGTGTAGTGGACCCTCTGTTCTACTACCCAGGGTCAGCAGATATTCTGCCAGAAAGCAAGTCTCCAACATTTGGGATAAATCACAGCCATGAAGGTATTAGATGGCCTGACTGTGATGTGCACAGTCTTCAACAGGTATGGGCAACCCTGAGCTATCACTTAGAAGAAAGAGTTAAGTGGCTTAAAAATTAAAGAAAGTATAGAATTCCAGAACATCATGAGGAAACACCTCACTGCCTAGGTATGGGCAAGATAGTATGACATAGAGCCTTTTAGTAATCCACATGATAAAGAGCTATGTACCTGAGTGGCTGTCATATTCTGAGTACAAATGTGCTCCCAGTGAGCATTCAGTGAAGTCATTGCTCAATAAAGAACACAGCTCTTTCTCCAATTCAGTACCTAACTCTGTTATCTCCTCTGTGGACCATGGGATCCTGTACAGATCAGACCACAGGACAAAAGGTCTGGGGTGCCACATTACAGCTATTAGGCAGTGTCCAAGAACCGGGCTCCCCAAGAACCACCAAAATAAAAAGCAACACATTATAGTAAGTAACTGAACATACATTCTGATGGAGGACTTTTCACCTAACTGCTGATCTTAGGAAAAATACAATTAGTGAGATTAGTACAACAAAGACAAGATACCTTGCCTATAAGGAGGTCTAACGAATTGCCGCTGGGAAGGGCTCCGTAGCCTGGAGTTCAATAGGCGCTGACGAGAAGACAAAGTAGAAGAAGAAACTGTTGGAGAAACAGTGTGTGTGGTGGTAGATGCAGAAGAATGTGGCCAGACAAAGCTTGGTTTAGATGGGGTATGCTTGTTAGAGGACTGAGTTATCCGTGATGCTTTGGCAGAGCTTCCTGGTGATTCAGGAGAAGCCACTTTTAATGTTGGAGTTTTTTCCATCTCCTCCTCTTCAGAACTTACTTTGTGAGGTAGAAGAGTGTCCATAGATTTTCTTTTATTGCTACTAGTGTCATCATGTGTGTCTTTGTTACTTCTAGAAACAGAAGGGGACCGTTTTGCTGCCAAAGTTGTGGGTTTCTTTTCCACTTCTTTCTGATCATATTCACTGAAATAATCATCCTCTTCATTAGAAACTGACTGACGAGATTTAGGTGAAGAGGAGGAAGAAACTTTTTGAGGAAGTTCAGCATTGGACATTTTTGAAGGCAACAGGCCATATTTTTTCTCTGTTTGGGATGCTGTTCTTGTAGCGACCCTTGAGCGAACAGGTAATGAAGGACGAGCTTGTCTCGAAGAAGTGGATGACAACCTTGGATTATGCTGGTTGTCTTTTGTTGTATCACTGGCAGAACTGGATTCTGTCTGAGTATGTTTTGGCTTGTAAGAAGGTACCTGAGAACCTGGCTGCTGTTGCTTCGATGGAGATGAACTTGAGCTTCCCTGAGAGAAAGAGGACACCTCTTTCGGAAACATAGAGCGGCTGCTTGCTCTGTCACTGCCCTCTGTTACATCCTCCTCATCACCATCTTCCTGCAATTCTTCATTACTTTGGGATGGGACATGAGATGGGAGGCGCCGGCCCCTTGAATGCAGTAAGGAAGGACTGGTTTGAGCCCTCTGTCGAGGCTCTGAGCGGGAGGTCTTCTCCACTGGAAGATGAGAGGGGAGCATCTTTTTAGGCAAGGATACACTTGGTTTTGATCGAGCAGGAATTTCTTTTACATCTCGAATGTCCTGCTCTTCAGGCTTGTGTCTGGAAAGAGAAGACTGTAAAAAAGAATGCTTTTCTGGAGCAGCTGTTCGGCTCTGTTGTTCTCCTGAGTCAGAGTGGGATGACTTTTCACTATGTGTCTCTCTGAGGTCAGAATCAGAATCAACCTGAGGATTTCTTTTCTTAGAATAGATTGTTGAAGAAGACTGCCGGGAAGAGGGTAGAGAAGGAAATAAGGGGTTTTCATCTTGTGAGTCCTCCCTGTAATTCTTATCAACATCCTTTCCACTGGATTTGGTACTGGTGGAGGAGCGAGAGTGAGATGAAGTGTGACCAGAAGCAGCAGACCGCGACAAGACTGCCACCGCAGATGATCTCGAATCCTTCGACGTGCGAGAACTGGAGCCTGAGGGTAGCCTTACTTGCTGCGACTGAGAACTGGGCTGTCCTGCTCTGTCCTCTGCTTCTTCACTGTCAAACTCATTACGGCTATTGCGAGCATGGGACTCTGCTGATTTGGAATGTGATGTGGGTTGATGTGAATGACCTAGAGAGCCAGACCTACTGCGATGGCCTAAGACAGCCTCATGAGAGATAGCAGACTGCTGATTTGATGGTAAAGCAAGGCGACTAGGCTCTGAAGTTTTAGAAGACACTTTAACCAGCATGGGGTCTGGCTTCCCTTCCACATTACCCACAAGATCATTATTTTTGGCAAGCTGAGGGTGGGAAGAGGTTTTAGAAGGCATATTAGTGTTGCTTTGTCTCAGTTGTTTTGTTTCATTATCTGTGTATTTGGGAACAGATGAGGCAGAAGAGTGTTGTGCTGATGATGGTAACAGTGCTGGTGGCTCATGTTTCTCTGTGCTTGCCTGGTGTGACACCTCTGATGTGTGGGTTCGAACAGAAGTCCTCCCTGAGGCAAGAACAGGGTGGACTGGCCGACTAGGGGGCAAGGGTCTAACATTCCTCCTCTGGTCCTGGGCTTTAGGCGGTGATGTTGGAGCTTGTTGGGAGGAATCACGATCATCTGTCACCTCTGTGGACTGGAGATCAGGTTCCAGCTCTCCTGTCTTTCTAGAAGGTAACTGAGATTTACTTAGGACCCCTCGAGTCAAGATCTTATTCTTATATTCAGAAAGAAGACTCTTTTTATCACTAACAGGTGAATGAACAGGCAGCTGCTTAGAAGAAAGTGACGGCTGAGCTTTTGAAGAAACAGAAGTTTGAGAAGGAGATGAGCCAGCATTCACAGCTTTTTTAGCCTCTGAATTATCTTGAATATTTGTCTTTTGCTGGGCAACTGAATCCTCATGAGCAGCTGGGGGGAAAAAAGTGTTTATTCACAACAATAGCAGATGCACAAAAAAATGACCAAGAGAAGAAACCACCCAGGTAGCAAGAACAAAACAACTTATGAGAATATAAGATAATAATTATTTCTGTATTAACCATGCTGTGGAGTCCAGCTGAGCTAAGTTTTGGGTTGTAGGAAGGTACCTATATGGCATTATTGTAGTTTGCATGAAACTAAGAGCAATTAAAATCAAATATCTAAAAGCTGGGACTGCAACATCCTTTCAGTGGAGCCAAATCTACAGCAGTGTTTAGACAAGTTGATAGCACAGTGCTGCATTGTCTCATGTAAGACTGTGGCCCACATTTTTACTCAACTCAGCAAATCATCTGTCCCTACAACAGCATCTTTTTGGCAAGGAGCAAATGCAAAGTCTGGTATCTGAGAAGATGTTCTAAGTGACTTTCAAGAGTGGGAGTTGTCAGGAACAGAGTGACCAAAGGTCCAAAGCATTGCATTCTTTGGCCTTTGAATAACAAGAGCACATAGTGTTGTCATGCAAGAAATAGTCTGGCATGCATTTACTAAAAATGTTAAAATGTCCATAAGATGTCCTTTTACGTGCTGCAAAGTGACAAACACTTATTTGGACAACATAGTGATAAAAAGAGTTAACAGAAACAGTATTAAGGAAGTAAAATCTCATGGGTTAGATGGAGTGCAGAGAAGTTAAGTCAATAACACAACTGACACCAAGGCAAGAACGGGCAAACTATGCAATCAGTCCATGGCTTGGTGCTCACCTGCTGGGATGGCGACACTGAAGGCTTTAGACTGAGGACCTGGTCCCCTCCTGTTTGATGCACGAATTTTAAAAACATAGCGCTCCCCGGCCTGCAGACCATCTATTATGGCTGATGTTGTAGCTCCAGAGTAGGTGATGGACTTTGCTCCAAATGGCTTGAGAGCCGGGGCGTATGAAAGAATGTATTCTGAAATGATTTGGCAGACGGTTGGAAGGAGGAAACTGGAAACAGTCCTGTTTCCAGCGGACAGACTGTATGGGTAGGATGAATTAGAACGTGCATTACTAAAATTAATACACTAGCAATGCACGCCGAGTCAACAGCTGGAGTATAAAGACATGAGTGAGAGAGATACATATACATCTAGGTAAGCTGAATATTTGTTCATCCTAACAGACAAAACCAAATCACATTAATGACCTAATGACTGAGACAGAATATGTTAGCTATACCTTTGTAAAAATTCATAAGCAACAACGCCCATCAGAGTGAAGTGTCACCAAGAGGAACCAGATGACAGCAGTGTGCGCTTCCAGAGAAGGTGTGGGTGACATGAGAAAATTATAGCAACAACTACTGTGCCCTTTGGTGTGCTGCACCAGGAGACCTTTTTTTGTTTCTGGACACCAACTAATAAAAGGGAAAAAAGTGAGTCCTTTGGGAAAATTAAGTGCTCTAAATCAGAAATAACAGAGGAAATCTACAAACAGAAAATGTACTGGAGGTAGAAAACATGTATAAACATTGCCATGGAAATATGCACTGTCTTACTACTTGTGGAAATCTAGTCTGAAAGACTGTGCAAATGTTAGGTAGTGCAGATCACTACAATCAGAATATCTGTGTTGTTACAGCTCACAAGCCACGAGTACATTTTAGACTTACCAAAAGAAAGAAAAATTTTGAACTTACTGATTAGCTACCCAGATATTTGCAATCAATAACACGTGATCCAGAGAATATTCTTCCAGAGCATAAGTTGCTCACAATGGTGGGCAACACACAATTGCGTTGCTGACTGTAGCTATATCCATCAGCAAACAAGAATGTTAAAATTTTTTATTTTCCACAGAAATTATTTGGAAGAAGAAAAAAATTGTGTATTCACATAACTATCATTCAAGACATCAGTATTAAAATCAGGAAACAATATTCATTGCTATTAATTACTTTCGTATCCTAATTTCCAACACAGCCTTGACACAGCTGTAATTGTACTGTACTGTAAGACCCTAGTCATGCAAAAGCAGTTCTGTCAGTCCACTGCAGTGAAATTCTACCAGCTCCAAAGGCCATATAGTCACTCCTCAGCAGTGCTGGAGCCTGAGGGGCATTCTCATGAAAACAGCAAAGCCCTTGCTTTAATCTTGGAAACAATATTACTGCAGTCAAATATAAATATTTCCAGCTGCATCTTTGCTTAGAGGGATTTTAGCTGTAATCTACAGACCAGTAGGTAAAAATCATGCCTGGATGTCAGAGAAGATACTTTTACCAGAAAATATCAGCACTGCAGATTTGTCAAATGGTAGCAATATCATGCCTGTCCAACAAAATCAAAGCCTGACGAACTGTGCTTAACTATAGCCAGGGCCAAATACTATAGCAGAGAGAGCAAAGTAAGTTCTTGTTACCACTTATGAAACTCACACTGCTCTCACCTTTGGGTTTTGGATTACTGTGGTACCTGTACTCTGTCTTAGCTTTCTGTATTGAGAGAAATTTCACCCTTGTAGGAATAATGTGGTCATGAAGAGGATTCTTCCCATTATACACCCAAGAAGTGTAGGCAAGAAGATCTCAGCTACGTGCAGGCTTTCCTTTTCAAATCCTCTGTAAGAGGCACAGGTATCAGATAGAACCAGCATTTAATGCTCAGTTGAAGAATGAATCAATGTATTAGAAGGTGTGGCAAGCTTTGAACCTTTTTTCTTTTGCTTTAAGATACACAGGAGTTGCTTTAATTGCAGAGACACTGGTGTAGCTTCTGATGACTCTCAAATAGCTACTGGAGGACATTTTCTCCCATTATTTTAATATGAGGTATAAATATACAAAAGGACAGGGTTGAAAAACAAAAGGATCAAAAGACAAAAAATCCTGATTACCACATGCTAGCAAAATGACCCTGAAGTGCTAATTCAGTGATTTCATTTAGCCAGTAAAAATATCTTGTCATTTATTTAGTTTAAAAATAAGACCTCTCCTGTAACACTTCATACTCAAGAAAAACAATGATATATTAGCCACATACAGGCATTCAGCCCTCGAATACTAGGTATCTTTAAAATTATTGCCTTGGATGAATCATCTAATGATCAGCAGACAAAAATGCACAAAGGACTACAGACTGCTCAAAATTAGGAGCAGATTTGAAATTTCAGATAATGTCCCTGCATGACCCTACTTTTAGAAATAATAATTCTTGGACACAATTGCAGCTCCATTGAAGCAATTGGCAAGATTTCTACTGACTTCAAAAAGGAAGGAATTCCACCACTGCCCTGAAGAACACATAAAGTAGGTCTTGTATGCAGACAGGGTATACTTCCCTCCAGGCTAATGATTTTTTGAATCCTGAGATGCTGTGGTACTGATAAGGCACCTCCAAAAACTTGTGCAATTTGAGAACACAATCCTGTCAACCACTGCAGAACAGGAGAGGCCAAAAAATCAGCTTGTTCATTTTCACAGGGAAAAAGGGGGAAAAAAAATTCCAGAAAGTTTTTTTTTTTTATAATCCTATGCCAAAACATATCCACTGACAAATTAGCTTCATGACTATTTACTATAACACTGTAGTACACAAGATTTATGGATGATATCTCCTGCAATCACTATTTGTGCTTGCTTCTTAAGCTGAGGCTTTCCTTCCATGATAAACTAGAAATAAACCACAACATAAACCCACTCACTTTCTTGGCAACTACCAAACTTTTCCTTTTTCAGCTGTTACAAATCCTTCTGGAAACTTCCTTCTTGAACTCCATTTTGATCTGCTTATTAATGGAAGAAAAGGTAAACCGTGCATGTATCATGACCTAGGAAGCTCTGTGACCTCCCAGGCACACAGTGGCGATGGCTTCTCAGCGGTGCTGTGGAGGTGCTGGGCTATAGACGAGCAAATTTTCCTTGGTTATAAGCCATTAACAAGCGAAAAAATCCTGTCACAGCAAATGTTCCAGCTTGCTGTGGGGCAGCAGCCTGGCTTTGAAAAGACTAGTTCCTTGAGAGAGTTAAAAACCAACAGTGATGACTCACCTTTGACTTTTCCTTCACTCTCTGGGAGAGCATCCCAGGATGCTGCTACAGAGGTTGGTTTCCCCTTTAGTGGCCAAACATCCAAATTTTCTGGTGCACTGGAAGGAGCTGTCAAACAGCGTTATGCAGAAAAGTAAGAAAGGTGAACTGATACAGCTCACACCTTTTGCTCTGTCTTCTCATAGCAGAAATTCCTATACAGCCATTTCAAAGATAAATGTGAAGAGCGTACATAGCTCAGGTCCATGAGTATCTCTGTTACATCTCTCTCTTAGACTATCATAGTGAAATTTTATTCCATATTTTTAGAAACAGGCTGTCTGTACAAGACTGATGCTTGTACATGGAATGACATGGTAATTTGGTTGTTACAGACTACTTGTCTGTACCAAAGGGGCCCAACAGCTTCTCTGTGGTGAAAGGATTTAAATTTGCTGGTCACAGAGAGGGATGGAAGCCAGTCTGCTCTTTCCAAAGGAAGGGGCACATCTGGCTGCAGGGGTCCAGGGTGCTGACCCATTCCACAGAAATACCCAAACCATCTCCCCCTGTTCTCATTGCACCACAATAGCAGCCTCATGTGCTCTCCAGGGCATTACTGCAGGGATGCAGGCAACATCACTGGGGCTTTTCCCATATTTCCAACCCTCTCCTGCCCCAAGCAAACACTTATTCTGGCTTTCCCTCAAGTCATCTTTATTCCACACCTTAAACCCTAAGACTTGTGTTACCCCAAGGACCTTTTGAATACATACCTGCCTCTGGGGTCCTTTGGTAAACAGACACACTCCATTTGCCTTCCTTTTCTCCCTCCAAGATTTGGATAGCAAACTCATACATAGTGTCCGGCACTAGATTCTCCACCAGCGCCCGCCGGTTGGACACCTGCTTGTAATCCCACCTTGCTGATTCTCCCTTTTCCCGATAGCGAACACTATATTGCCTGAGATCAGAAACACAGGACAATAAAAATTCACGTGTGAAAACCTAGCATTAGCAGAGCCAGAGAGGGATGGGGATGCTTTGTTCTCAGCCAGCCTGCTGGGGATTAGAGGAACCTACCAATATGCAGACAACAAAGTACCACCACCACCAAAGCCTGGCATCTTTTAAACAAACATTTTTGCTTTCCTCTTATGGAGTCTGAGATCAGAAACACAGGACAATAAAAATTCACGTGTGAAAACCTAGCATTAGCAGAGCCAGAGAGGGATGGGGATGCTTTGTTCTCAGCCAGCCTGCTGGGGATTAGAGGAACCTACCAATATGCAGACAACAAAGTACCACCACCACCAAAGCCTGGCATCTTTTAAACAAACATTTTTGCTTTCCTCTTATGGAGTCTGATTGACCCCAAGGG